TCCTTGATTAGTTTCCATCCGTTGCTTCTTGTCCTGCCTTCAGGTGCTTTGGAAAATAGCTTGACTCCCTCTTCTTTGTGGCAGCCCCTGAGATATTGGAACACTGCTATCATGTCCCCCCTCGTCCTTCTCTTCATTAAACTAGACATACCCAATTCCAGCAGCCGTTCCTTATATGCTTTAGCCTCCAGTCCCCTAACCATCTTTGTTGTTCTTCTCTGTACTCTTTCTAGAGTCTCAACATGTTTTTTACATCGTGGTGACCAAAACTGGATGCAGTATTCCAAGTGTGGCCTTACCAAGGCATTGTAAAGTGGTATTAATATTTCACGTGATCTTGATTCTATCCCTCTGTTAATGTAGCCTAGCACTGTGTTGGCCTTTTTGGCAGCTGCAGCACACTGCTGGCTCATATTTAAGTGATTGTCCACTAGGACTCTGAGGTCCCTCTCACAGTTACTACTATTGAGCAAGGAACCACCTATACTATACCTGTACATTTGGTTTTTCTTGCCTAAATGTAGAACCTTACTTTTTTCACCATTGAATTTCATTTTGTTAGATAGTGCCCAGTGTTCAAGTCTGTCCAGATCCTTCTGTATCTTAAGCCTGTCTTCTGGAGTGTTGGCTATTCCTGCCAGCTTGGTGTTGTCTGCAAATTTGATGAGTTCCCCATCTATCCCCTCGTCCAAATTATTGATGAAGATGTTGAAGAGCACTGGGCCCAGAACAGAGCCCTGGGGCACCCCACTACATACTTCCCTCCATATAGATGCGGTTCCATTGAGGACCACACGCTGAGTACGGCCAGTCAGCCAGCTACGGATCCATATGGTGGTGATGCTGTCTAACCCACATGTTTCTATCTTATCAAGTAGTAGGTTGTGATCTACTTTATCAAATGCCTTACTCAAGTCCAAGTAAATTATATCCACAGCATTCCTCTGATCCACTAATTTTGTCACTTGGTCAAAGAATGCAATAAGATTTGTCTGGCATGATCTGTTTTTGACAAACCCATGTTGGCTTTTAGTAATGACTTTGTTTGCCTCTAGGTGTTTGCTGATTCGTTGTTTGATTATCTTTTCCAGAATCTTCCCAGGTATTGAGGTCAGGCTAATAGGTCTGTAATTTCCTGGGTCCATTTTTTTTCCTTTTTTGAAGATGGGAACTACATCAGCTCTTTTCCAGTCCTCCGGTAGTTCCCCAGTGCTCCAGTTCAGTGGTTCTGAGATCACATCTGCCAGTTCCTTGAGAACCTTGGGGTGTAATCCATCAGGTCCTGGTGATTTGAACTCGTCTAGGCTGGACAGGTGCTCACTTACCATTTTCTTGCCTATCTTAACTTGTGTTTCTATTCTGTTTTTTATGGCACTATTTTTGATAGGTTGATCTGGTTTTTCCCTTTATGTAAAGACAGATGTAAAAAGCGAGTTAAATAGTTCTGCTTTCTCCCTGTTGCTTGTCACCTTCTTGCCACTTTCACCCACTAATGGACCAATCATTTCCTTCACTTTTTTCTTGTTTTTTACATGTTGAAGGAAGCTTTTTTGTTATTTTTGACTTTGGTCGCAAGCCTTAGTTCATTTTGAGCCTTAGCTTTCCTCACTTCATCTTTGTAGGCTTGGGCCATTTGCTGATATTCTGCCTTAGTTATGTGCCACTCTTTCCACTTTTTGTACTTGTCCTTTTTGTCTTTCAATTTATCAGAGAGTTCTTTGTGCAGCCATGCTGGTTTCTTTTGAGAGCTGTTATTTTTCTTCTTTGTTGGTATTGTGCTATACTTGGCTTTTATAATCTCACTTTTCAAAATTTCCCAAGCTTCTTGAGTTGTTTTCCCCTTGAGGATTCTCATCCATGGAATCCTTCCCAAGACTCTAGTTTGACTTTGTTCTATTGCTTCTGCTTGCATAATTGTATGATCACTCCCCCCCCAAGGTTCCTGTAGATTCAACACCTTCTATCATTTAATCTCTGTTAGTGAGAATTAGATCCAAAATGGCTAATCCTCTAGTTCCCTTCTCTACTTTTTGGGAGACAAAGTTTTCTGCTAGGTTTGCCAGGAACCTGTTTGATCTTCCACTTGGTGCAGAGTTTGTCTCCCAGTTGATGTCAGGGTAGTTAAAGTCCCCCATTACTATTGTGATGTGCTTCCTACATACCTTAGTTAGCTGACTAGCAAAAAGTTCATCTATTTCCTCTGTTTGGTTGGGTGGCCTGTAGTATACACCTATGGCAATGTCATTCTCCCCCCCCTTTTATATTAACCCAAATGCATTCAAGACAGTTTTCATCATTGTTGTGCTCTATTTCTGTAGAGATGTAGTTATTTCTTATATAGAGAGCAACTCCACCTCCTCTTTTATTTGGTCTGTTTCTTTTAAATAATTTAAATCCCTCTAGCTGTGTGTTCCATGTGTGCGTTTCATCCCACCATGTTTCCGTAATGGCAACAATATCATATCTGCCCTCATTAACCTGAATTTCTAGTTCTAGTTTTAAGATAATTTTTAAAGGTTTAAAGTGCTTTTGGAGAGTGTGATTTTCATAGGGAAGATTAGGAATGGGGAGATGCCCAGTCTGAGGATAGGATTAAAACTTAAAGTTATGTGTATTTTAAGAGTGCAAATCTGCATGCACTTGGAAATATGTTGACCTGACCAGGCATAAACTTCTGAAATATAGGCATAAGATTGGTTGACTGGACACATAGTACTTAAAAACCCAAATTTAAAATTAGCAGTAAGACAATGGAAACAAGCCTAAACTATCTACTTTTAGGTATTTAAGTAGCTCTGAAGCAATAAATCTTCCAGAGTTTTAATAAATATCAAAACATGACAAGGGCAGAGGAGGTAAAAATGTTAATAAAACAAATGTTGTTTCCACACCTAAAGTTTGAACTGGATATCTACTAATCATAAACATTAACTGATACCTGGGGCCTCATTCTCAACCTAGTTCCAAATTGATCTGATTCCTCAGTGATGAAAAATATTCAAATGGCACTGTGGGGTACCTGTGATTTCCATGAAAGCCAATACAATTATTTTTCTTTCACCTATTTTTTTTAATGTGGTTCTCACTACTTTTCCTTTGGGAAAGTGAACAGTTGGCTCTCTCTTCAGTTTGCCTGCCTACAGGCTGGGATTTCAGTCACCTGTCCCACTTGCACGTAGGAAGGCTCTAGCAGTTCTTTTGAGAGCCACAGGATGGGAATCAATGCTGGCTAGTACCGTGTTTCCCTGAAAATAAGACCCACCCAGAAAATAAGCCGTAGCCTGATTTTTTAGGGTGTGCCTAATATAAGCCCTACCCCAAAAATAAGCCCGGGGGTGGGCATGGCCAGCACAGGAGGCAGCGAGCGCGCAGGGGCTGATGGTGTCCGACAGCAGCCGCAGCCTGTGCAGCACAGGTAAGTCCGAGTGCAGAAGCAGAGGCAGGGGGGAGGCAGGTGATCTGGACGCACTGTGTGGTTGCCTGGCTCGCGGGAGGCTCACGCGGTGGCACCAGCAGGAGACAGAGGCACGGGGGGGAGGCAGGTGATCTGGGCATGCTGCATAGCCGCCTGGCTTGCGGGAGGCTCGTGCGGTTGCACCGGCAGCAGGCACAGGCATGGGGGGGAGGCAGGCAATCCCGACGTGCCGCCCAATCTGTCCCACCTTCTCTCGGCTTACCCGTGGCTGCGCCAGGACAGGCAGCCACATGACACATCCAGATTGCCTGCCTCCCCCCGTGCCTTTGCCTCCACCTGCTGCTGGTGCTGTCATGAGAGTCTCCCGTGAGCCAGGTGGCCACGCAGCGCGTCCGGATCACCTGCCTCACCCCTGCCTCTGCCTCCGCACTCGGACTTATCTGCATTGCGCCAAGGGGCCAGTGGGCTGCAGCTGCTGCCAGACGCCATCAGCCCCCGCACGCTCACTGCCTCTTGTGCGCATGCCAGGGTGGTGGGGCACCCGGCCAGGCTGATCACCCCGATACCTTGTTTCGCCAAAAATAAGCCCTGATGCGTCTTTTGGTGCAAAAAAAAAAATATAAGACCAGGTCTTATTTTCGGGGAAACACAGTATTATAAAAGAGTGTGCTGGAGGTACCACAGTATTTGTTGGACTTATCTCTTCAGTTATTATTTCTTTGGAATATTCAAAGCACTAATGAGTTGGGTTATATATCAGCAAATTAGTATCACTTTAATTACTAAAAAAGACTAAACAATGAATGTCATTAAGAGAAAAAATTGGATCCAAAGGTTGGTTTGGAACTTAGCGGAATTTCCTTTTTGTTTATATGCTGATGTTATCTCATAAGATGCCTCAAATTGTCTCTTCATTTTCAGAAGAGACTTGGCAATGCCCTGAAAAGATTTAAGAAACTGAAGTTTAAAGTGCAGCCAGCCAGAATTAATTGTTCAATTGTTTGTACCCAAGCTAACAAGTAAAAATATGACTAATTTTAAAATGCATGTTGATTATTTCTTACTTTTTTTATATTACTGGCAGCAGTAATATACTGTATTAAAAATGAGAAACAGTTATCAAGGAGTAGAGGGTTTGCTAGTTTTGCTTTTTAGTTTTAACCAAATTTGCATTTTCCTGTTTCCCCCATTTTATTGTTATTCTAGGCAATCATGGCCAACAAAAATTGATGTTCCTCAAGATTTAGATGATGACTTTACAGCTTCTCCTTTGACCCATGGAGCTGTTGCTCAGTCTCCTGCTCGTAGTGCTGAAAATGTTCTTAATGGACACAGAAGTAAGGCACTTAATGATTCAGCCAACAAAGAGGATATTCCTGAATTAGCTGGACCAACACTTTCAGTTGTTTCCTCAGTGAATTTAAAACCTACAACTAGTAGTCGGAAGTGCTTGTTTAGAGTACAAGAAGATGAAGAGGAGGATGGTGAAGATAAAAAACCTGTTTCCCTATCAAATCAAGTTGTTCTGCGTCATAAACCTTCTGTTACAAGTCGTCTTACTTCCCGGAAAAGTGCCCCAGTCCTTAATCAGATTTTTGAGGAAGGGGAATCTGATGATGAATTTGATACAGATGAGAATTTGCCTCCAAAACTTAGTCGGCTAAAAATGAATATTGCTTCACCCAGCACTGTGCATAAACATGACCACAGAAGGAAAAGTCAGGGTCGTGGATCTAGTTGCAGTAGCTCAGAAACAAGTGATGATGACTCAGAAAGCAGGCGATGTCTAGATAAAGATAGTGGATTTACTTACTCCTGGCATAGAAGAGATAGTAGCGAAGGTCCTCCTGGCAATCAGGGAGATGGAAGTGGACAAGGCAAACCAAGCAATGGAAATGGAGGGGTTGGCAAAACAAGTCCTGGTGATAATCATAAAGAGGATGGAAGTCCTTCCAGTAGCTCTAGTGGAAGCATGAATAACAATTCAGGTTCCACTCACAGATGTGCAGGATCTGGTAATTCTGTACAGTTGTCATCAAGAAGTGCGTGTGATGTGGTTGAAAGCCTCAAGTTGATGAGCATTTGTTTAGGTTCTCAGATTCACAGTAGCACTAAGTACATAATTGACCCTCAAAACACCATTTCATTTTCCAGTGTTAAGGTGCAAGAGAAATCAATATGGAAAATGCGCATAAGTTCTGGGAGTATAAATCCAGTTTCATCTTTGGGCAGCATAAAATTGTTTTCTGACCAAATGTCAGATGCAGCAAATGAGTTAGAACAAATAAAGAACAAGAACTTGAAAAACAATGTGCTACAACTACCTCTATGTGAAAAAACAATATCTGTGAATATTCAGCAAGACCCAAAGGAGGGACTGTTACGTACATTGGGTCAGACAACTTGCTGTCATGTTGTTTGACAATAATCAAATTTAACCCATTCTACTTGACATCACTAATCTTCCTGTTCAGAGCTGTGAATATTTTATTTCACTGAACCTTTTGTTGACTTTGTTTTAATATTTTAACATAGGCTTTAAGCAGTAATTTATGACATATTTAGTTTTGCTTGTTATGACAATGCGTGATACTGTGCATGCAGCTAGCCAGTAATTTATTTTGTTCCAAACAAACCAAGATTTGTGTAAATTTTACCTTTCTAATTTTACTATAGAAAATCTGGATTACAGTAAGGCTTGTGTCCAAATCCAGTATAAATTAAGCATTTAGCAGTTCACATTCTGCACTTAAATTAGAAACAGAGCTTTCGTTTCTTTGTAAGATGTCAAATCTTATTCAGATGTTCTGTGTTACTTAAAATATGTGAGATGTGACATAGTTCTCAGTGATTGCAACAGAACCAAAGCAATAATATTTTGATGCTGAAATCTCTTCTGGACCTTTCAGAATGTCAAGGCTTGTACAAAGCAAAAGTGCACTGAAACGTTTTCTTGAACTCTTGATTTTTAATCCCACATCTTTGTCTTAAATAATAAGCATGAGTGATGGTTGAAATGAAGATCTTGATTTGATATAGACAAGATTTTTTTAAAAAAAATTAAGGCAGCTTTCCCCATTATTAAATGCAGACAATCTTTAAAGAATTATCTAACAAAGGAACACTCTAATTTGAGTTTTTTTCCCCATCCAAGGGAAAGCATTCATTACTGACATATATAATCAGTTATAAAGTATTGTGCAAAATATTTAAAATGGACCGATTTGTGGTAGCTGAGATGTATTCAGGTAAATCAATTCATATACAATAACAGTTGACAAAAATATTGAAAGAACAAAAGTTTTTTCTTCCAAATCTACTTTCCACTGTGCCCTTTAATATTTTCAATATTAAACAGAATGCCGATTAAGGATGTAATAAAGTACTTTGAGCATGCAGGTAAATGAGGCACGATAGATGATTGTCACTTTTGTATAGTGTTAAGTATATCAAAAGTGCTTCAGAATACCTAACTGCATACAGTCATTTCAGCTAGACATTTCTAGTAAAGGAGAGTAGAAGCAGTTGCTGGAATTTGAATAAAAGAAGAGTCTGTTCAGATTATCAGAGAGGCAAATTGGAATACTTTAATATGGTATATCCCAAGTCCTCTCCATGGATCTCAAAATACACCATGGGATAACTTACTGGAAAACAAACTATTTTAATTACACATTTAGTTTTGGATGTGACATTTAATTTGCTTTAATAATTCTTCAAATCAAGTCAATATCACAAGTTGACATGGAGCATTTTTCTTTTATTCTTCAATGTATTTGCTTTTTAAAAACCTCTTGCTATTGAAATGCCAACAAATAAATGTGTTGGCACTTTTCCTGTTAAAAAATACTTTTGACCCGATGAATTAACTTTTCTGAACATGTACAGTGAGGGAAAAAAGTATTTGATCCCCTGCTGATTTTGTATGTTTGCTCACTGACAAAGAAATGATCAGTCCATAATTTTAATGGTAGGTTTATTTTAACAGATAGAATAACAACAAAAATCCAGAAAAACGCATTTCAAAAAAGTTATCAATTGATTTGCATTTTAATGAGTGAAATAAGTATTTGACCCCTTCGCAAAACATGACTTAGGACTTGGTGGCAAAACCCTTGTTGGCAATCACAGAGGTCAGACGTTTCTTGTAGTTGGCCACCAGGTTTGCACACATCTCAGGAGGGATTTTGTCCCACTCCTCTTTGTAGATCCTCTCCAAGTCATTAAGGTTTCAAGGCTGACATTTGGCAGCTCGAACCATCAGCTCCCTCCACAGATTTTCTATGGGATTAAGGTCTGGAGACTGGCTAGGCCAGGGGTCAGCAAACTTAAACACTCAAAGAGCCACTTGGACCCGTTTCGCAGAGAAAAAACACTGGGAGCTTGATTGAAGAGTTTAATTAAAAAGAAATAGAAGCTGCTGTGCATGAGTCTCTCTCTCCCTCCCTCCCTCTCCCTCTCTTTGTCTCCCTCCCTCTCTCTCCCCCCTTTCTCTCCCTCTCTCCGATCTTCTGCTCACCTAGCAAGCTGGCCTCACGCTGTTCTCCGACAAGCTGACACACATTCTTATTGGGCTGGCTCTCTCCTGCCCTTGGACTGCCAGTCCTCTTCCCCCACTCAGTGTGTGTGTGTGAGAGAGAGAGAGAGCTGCTGCTTTCTGCTGCTTCCTGCTTCCTGCTGAGACGCAGCAAAGGCAGGAGCCCCGCCCAATAAGCTTGTCAGCTTATCCGAGAACAGCGTGAGGCCACTCTCTTTTTTACACAGAGAGAGAGAGAGAGAGAGAGAGAGAGAGAAGGGAAGTGCAAGTGCCTCTCTCTGTCTCTGTCTCTCTCTGCAAATGGCGGAGGAGGCTGGGAGCCGCAGGAGAAGGCTCAAAGAGCCACATGCGGCTCCGGAGCCGCGGGTTGCCCACCCGTGGGCTAGGCCACTCCAGGGCCTTAATGTGCTTCTTATCTCCGAGACCGCCTTCTGCCACAGATTGCCTCTCATCGGCCGGTACGCTCCCACAGAGAGGGTCTCCTCAGGGTGCCGTCAGCCAGACAGTGCCGGCTGGTGACCCCCAGGGGGAGGGCCTTCTCTGTTGGAGCCCCCTCCCTATGGAACGAACTACCCCCAGAGATCCGGGTCATCCCGGATCTCCCCTCCTTCCGCCGCGCCCTCAAGACATGGCTATTCCAGCTAGCGGGGCTGGCCTGAGGGGTATTTTAGATTGGATTTTAATTTGATTTTATATTGGGTGTTCACAAAAATTTT